GGGAAAGCAAATCTAGAATCCTCGAATACGTTTAATCTCTAGCGAAAACTTATTCTTTCTTCGTATTTTTAAAAATCTACTTAAGAAGGGTCATTCTTCTGAAACTAATGAAGTCAGAATATTTTTTCTTGTTCCTACTGTTTCTCTCTCCCTATTGACCAGCTCAAGCCAACTCCTCCTTCAAAGAATTAGTAGTATTAAAATTAGCAGAAATACCATAAAAACACAAGAAACACAAAAGACAAACCAATGAAGTAGTTGCTGAGAGTACTCTATTTCTTGGAAAGAACACTTTAAATTGACTAAATAATCTCACACACTATGTTGGAAATATCTATATAATGCTCAATTACTTTCCAATAGAAAGTTGACAGTACAGCACTAGTACTGAAGTAGGTAAATTCAAATCCAGGAACAGTCCTTCAGCTTATCCGCAATCATGTCAAGTGTGTTAGACCTGATTTTAATGATGCAAATAATATATCTGTACAGGAACTCAAGGAAGCATTCAAGATTGAAGGAATCAAGAGGCAGGAAAGCATCCAATATTGAAGGAATCAAGAGGAAGAAATCAATTAACCATATGAAGATTCAGAATCAATCAGAGATTGATTTAAATGGAAAAGAAGCAATCGAAGATCTTGCTAGATAATCAATCAAGTTGTTGCTTTCAGATAGAACAATAATCAAGGAGTAAAACTCGCGTTATCAAAGCCTGTAGAAGGAAAGTTGTTAATGAGGAAGAGAAACGACAAGCTGCTAATTTCGGAAGGACCAACAATCAAGGAGTAAAACTCGCTCATCAAGATCTGTAAAAGGAAAGCTATCAATGCCCTCACATCAAGGAAGATCAACGACAAATAACATTATTCTTGGAAAGAATCAATCTCTTTCCAAGGATCAAATCTCTTGGGTTGTCAAATCTCTTCAGTAAACGGCAGAGAGAACAACACTGGTGAGGCATTCTATTAAAAGAGACGAGTGATATAGGAACTGAGCTATCACGTCATTTCCATTGTACTCGAAGAAACGCATTTACTAAAGAGAACTCCCTTGCAACCCAAGGGGACTGGACTAGGATTCATATTGAATCCGAACCAGTATAAAAATTTCGATGTCTTTAATTCCTACATTTACTTTCAGCATCTTATATTCTGTTATTACAACTGTTAGTTTAGTACATCTAGTCGACTAATTGAAAAATCAGTCAACTAATAGAGATTAAGTTTAAAAATATACAATTCACCCCCCCCCCTCTTGTACTTTCAATTGGTATCAGAGCAAGGCTTACATTTTTCTTTTGCTTAACAGCTTGTGAAAAAAGATCATGGCAAATCAAGTTATCATGGGAGCTCTTTTCCAGGAAGAAACTTCACAAGTTAGACCATCATACTTCACTGGACAACATTTGTCTCACTGGAAAGTGTGTATGGAGATCTATTCCAAGGCATACGATGTTAAAGTTTGGAGAGTCATAAAAAATGGGAACTATCCCCTACCAGCTGCTACTTCATCACTTACTGATCCTGAAGATATAGACTCATATACAAAAGAGAAAATGGAAGTGGTACAAGTTAACAATAAAGCGAGAAACCTACTTTATAATGCCATAAGTGGTGAAGAGTATGAGAAAATCTCTAGCTGTGACACAACCAAAGAAATGTGGGACAAGCTTGAGGTTACATACGAAGGAACCAGCAAAGTAAAGGAAACACATATCAACATGTTGGTTCATGATTACGAACTCTTTTCAATGAAAGAAGGAGAGTCTATTGAAGAGATGTTTGCTAGATTCAGCAAAATAATTAGTGATCTAAAAGTATTTGGCAAACCATATACGAGTGGTGATCAAGTCAGAAAAATTCTCAGAAGCCTACCAACCACTTGACAGACCAAAGTAGTCACACTTGAATCTCAGGATCTAAATAAGTTATTCTATAATGAACTACGAGGAGAACTCATAGCCTTTGAAAAGACACATCTCAAGAAGACTAGTCAAGAAGAAAGAAGGAAAACAGTAGCATTCAAGGCCTCAACTGAAATAGCTGAAAATGAAATCGTTGATGATCCTGAAGCTCTATAAGAAGAGATTGTTGTGCTAGCAAGAAACATAGATGGCTTAATGAGAAGATTCAGAAATACGAGAAAAGGAAGAATTCCACCGAGGCGATCCAGGAAATACAATGAACAAGACAAGAATGATGGAAAATGTTATGAGTGTGGAAGATTTTGACACATTCAAGCTGAGTGCCCAGATCTAAAAAGAAAAATTTCCAGGGGCTTTAACTAGAACAAATATTTTGGAAATTGGAGCAATGAAGACAGTTCAGAACATGAAGAGATAGCAAATCATTGCTTCATGATGATTCTGGAAAATGAGATGAACAAATCCTCAGGATGCTGGACAGATGAGGACACCTCAGATGACAAATGCAAAGATGACAATAAGAATTGTTTCATGGCACGAGGTGAAACAAGTGAGGTAAGATCTTATAACTGTGAAAGATGCAATAAATTACAGAATATTCTTGATTTAACTTTGAAAGAGTCTCAAAAAAATGATGAATGAACTTAAGAGACTAAATAAAGAAGTTAAAGACTGGAAACTCAAAAATGAAGTATGTGAAATTGAAAAAGAAGTACTTCAAGAAGAGTTTGAGGAATTGCAAATGCAACTCAATGGCATGTGCAAATCCACCAGTCACAGTTCTGCCAGGTCAAACCAGG